AACGTGGAATCCAGGAGTCGTAATACGCAAATGTACTCAACCGCGTTCATATATGATTAGGACAAAATACGGATTATTCCGAAGAAATCGTAGACATTTATTTCTTGCTAATAAAGTTCGATTTGCTGCTAATGCGTTCGATGAAGATTTTGATCCGATTGATATAGATATTCGAGTTAACAATCATCAGGATGTGAACCCACCGGATCCACCTCCTGATATTCCGCAACTTCCAGTTCGTGTAGAACAACCTGTCTTGCGTCGCTCAGGTCGTACAATTGTTAAACCTGCGCGATATCGTGATTAAATAGCAGTACATTGAAATTTATGTTGTGTATTAAAAGTTATTAAGTAAATAACAGAATAATTGTGTTAAATGAAAAGATTATTATTAGTGTATGCATTTCAGATCAAACTAGTGATACATAGTTTTAAAATAGTTATTTAAATTAAAAGGAGGGAGATGTTGAGAATATGAACACTAGTTTGATAAAGACTATAGCTATAAATAGAATATTGATATAGACTATAGATTGCATGCATGGTCAGTATTAGTATTATAAAGTTTGCAGTCATCCTTGCTAGTCATGTAACATGTGCTTGATGTCTTATATATAAATCTTATTAATGCAATAGCTGTTTTCATTCCATCCTGATGAGCGAATGCCAGTCGGCCTCTGGTGATTCGACAAATACAAGGAGTATCAATTTCTAAAATTAACAGTTTCTAACTGTAATATTGCAAATTGGATTGAATCTTAATTTCATGAATTTTTTTTTATATCATTTCTGTCATGGAATATGTAGCCTAAATGTAATAGAATATTTGAAAATTGAAATATAATATATAGGTTAACATACCTTCAGTAACTTCTCCTGACATAGCTGAATCTATTAAAGATGTTGGTATCGTACACAGTCCTGAAAATTATTTTACTATAACTAATAATCAAGTTTCATGCTACATGAAGGCCTTCTTTAATCTTTCTGTAGTTACTGATGGTTAAAAAAAACCCTGAGAGGCGCATCTCACTTGATGGCTTGGTCTTGGATTATACCTCATGTTTGCAATTGACATTGGGAAAAAGCATTTTGTTGTTTAGAAGCAATTTTCTACTTTAAAGTCTAGGGTTATCCTGTTAAGTATATGGTGATTGGAAAGACTGTCTTCAGGTGCAGATCACCCTAGTGAATTGCTTGCACATTTCAAACTAGTTGCTGTAAATGAGTATCTAAATATAACAGACATAGGCAGTACAGGATGAGCTATTGTCCACTAAACTAAGACTATTTACCTGATGATTTTTTATTAAGAGCTGAAATCTGTCCACAAGCTTGGGTAACTTTGTCAAAGGCTACATCAAGACTAGACACTTCATCAGAATTTCTGGACAT